GTATTGCTGGGTAGGTCAGGCTTTTAGTATGCAATACTAATGAAGAAAGGCTAAAATAAAACTGAGGAGAAATTTCCTGACAGTTAGAACAATTAATCAGTGGAACAGCTTGCCTCCAGAAGTTGTGAATGCCCCAACACTGGAAGTCTTTAAGTAGACGTTGGATACCCATTTGTCTGAAACAGTACAGGTATCCTGCCTAGGCAGGGGGTTGGACTAGAAGACCTCCACGGTCCCTTCCAACTCTGCTATTGTATTGTATTGTATTGTATTATTTCTGTGCTATGTTCGACATAGGCTTCTTTCAAGGCAGATATATCTTTGAATATCTCCCTGATTTTTTAATAACTTTTCAAGTACATTCAAAGTTCTGACATTGTTGAAAGCACTGAGGAATCTGGTAAGGAAATATTTCTGAAATGATAATCCAAAGGGTCACATGGTTTGTCTAATCCCAACTGTAGTGGACAGGAATCTTTTAAATATCTATACGGTGCATAAATTAGAAGTGGAAGACAAGGTAGCGTATAAAAAAAATTGCTAGAAACCTAATTATTTGTTAGTGCCTTTTTATCAAATTTCATGCTTTCTAGTTGTTTTGTGCACTACATTTTGTGTGTACATTTTACCGGCATATGTGAATTTTAAATACATCATGAGAAACAGATATTATTTATAGCTTACAGATCCAGTGTTAAATAAAGATATAAGCATACAATGCAACAAACACTGTGATCTCAAAATGTGCTTTCCTTCTTTGGGATCTCTCTCTCTTTCTCTCTCCATCCCCCTCTAGGAGCAATCCAAATTATAAAATAACACAGGGTTCCCAGTTCTTCAAGATCTTGGAGTCACAATTCAGCTTTTTTCTATATGGTGCTTCTCAGGTCCAGAGAACCATAAACCTCTGAGCTTGGTTGTTTGCTTGCAGACTGTTTCATTATTCAAACTATTTCATTACTCAATTACCCAAACATAACCTCAGCACTGATGATGTTACTTAGTATGAATAATGAGACTCTGCAAGAAAACAGCCAAGCTCAGAGAGCACCAACCCAAGTCATTTCAACCCTGAGCTAAACATATTCTCCTTTATTGGGACCATAAACCTTATGACTATGCTAAAGTACCAGCTTGAGGAGGGTTGCATGAGTAAGAGAGTGTAGGGAAACTGGTAGTGCTCCATTACTAGAGGTTTTTAAGACGAGACTAGACAGTCACTTATCTGAAGTGGTAGAGGTTCTCCTGCTTGAGCAGGTGGCTGGATTAGAAAACGTCCAAGGTCCCTTCCAGCTCTGTCCTTAAATAGAGTAGATGCCCAAATTCGTCTCTATTGGAGTTTTGATGAGTTCCAACCAGCGCTCCCCAAGTGTTCTGAATTGCAACTCCCATGGCCACGCTAGCGGTGGGTGCTGGAAGTTGTAGTCCGTGGATTTGGAAACTTTCTCTTCGACGCCCACTCTCCTTTTGCTTCCCACAGCTAGGGCATCATCTAGCTCAGGGGTGTCCAACCTTGGGAACTTTAAGACTTGTGGACTTCAACTCCCAGAATTCCTAAGCCAGCAACGCAGGCTGAGGAATTCTGGGACTTGAAGTCCACAAGTCTTAAAGACGCCACGGTTGGACACCCCTGCTCCAGCTTTCTCTGCTTTTTAAATCCCCTGGGCAACCCGAGNTTTTTTTTTTTTTTTTTTTGCAAATGCTCCTATTAACATTCAAAGCTTTCAACTTTGTGGACAACATCCACTTTCTTGCATGTCTTACCTTGTTCCCCAGTCCATACTGACAGCTATAGGAAAGCATGGCTAGGTCGTCAAAAAGGCGTAGAACTGTTCGACAGTGACTCAGTTGTGCTGAGACAGCCAGGAGGCCTTGGCCAAGGGATGGTTCTCCAGGTTGTCTTCTGGCCACCAAAATTCCTCCAGCCAGCCGGCAGCCATAGCAGATGATGCGTATCTTATGTAGGAAGATTGGTTGTATAAAGCATTATTACCATTTCCAAATTATATTTTTTATTAAAGAGCCATGTATCCCCAGAAAGGTAAAGTTTGGAGTAAGGCCAAAATTAAAATGTGTTCTGTAGTGTAGGCCATATTTTTTCATATCCTCTTACTATTGGCAAACACTTTACAAATATCTTTAAATTGAGAGGGTTAATTTCAAAGATAAGCTAGCTTTTTTCTCCTGTCCCGATTTTTTTTTAAAATAATTGGTTCCTGTTTTACTAAAATGCTATACATCTCTGAAAAAATATATTTCAACTTATAGTGTACTAATTTTTAGAGGAACATGATATGATAAAATCTATTCTTTCACGTATGTGAAGGTTTTAATCATAATTTGGAGAACAAGGGATTGTGCTACATTCGATGGTAGATTAGAGGGCCTCTGCAAAAGATCATTTGGGGGGGGGGGCTCACCAATATGATATTGTTAGAACCTCAAAATATATGTACTAGGTACTAAAAGTTTTGTAATCTTTAACTGGGTAGAACAGTGCATCATAGAGCAATGGATTTTGAACTAAGTTATCTTAAATGGGGCAATTTACACAAAGTGTCCACAATCTGGGATTTATGACTCATAGAATTAAAATTCACCAAATGACATATAACATTTTATAACAAAAATGATCATGACACAGTTTATGACACAATACAAAATATCATAAAACATTAAAACAAGAAGCAATGGGTGGAAACTAATCAAGGAGTGAAGCAACTTAGAACTGAGGAGAAATTTCCTGACAGTTAGAACAATTAATCAGTGGAACANATTCTACTTTTGTCCCAAACAGAATAATAAATGTGTACTAACTGGACTATTGATTTGTTACCATAAAAAAACAGCAGCATGATCCAAAAACATAGCTTGGTTTATTAACTAAGTTTTGGACAGCAGATACTAAAAGAAGGAAGGAAGAATGTAAAGGAAAGTTTAAAGAAAAACAAGGACGTTTTAATACACATTTCCTTAACCTTCTGGATTGACTCTTAACTTTTCTGGAAAGGGTTCAGATGTGTGCCTTTATGCCAAATGGAATTTATCCCTGTTAATTGTTGAGGGGGAAAATGCTTACAAGGCAGGGAGTCCTACCTGGATTCTGTATGCTGCTTTCTTCTTAGGAGTAATAAAATTCGGAGAGCTCTGGAATGAGAATGTAAAGACAAAATTTTAGCTGCAGGCCATATTTCTGGAGCAGAAATCCTTAATGTCCTTAATATTGCTTGAATTCTGTTATACTACAGAACCTTCTTGATACTCCAGACATATGGAAAGTGGAAAGCATAAAGACTTCCTCAGTCAGAATCAAGCTTGGAGGAAGGGTAAACTGAGTCCCAATGATTCATGTATTTGAAGATTTAGATTCCAGGTAGTCATTGTCTAGTCTTCTCCCTTCCTTCTTTCCTACCTCCCTCCCTCCCCTCCTCTCTTCTCCTCCTTACCGTGCAATTCCCAGCAGCAGAGAAAAGCCCCAGAGAGTTGTACTGAATGTCCACCACCTACTTGAGTTGGCATGGATAATTTCAGCATCAGCAGCCCAGGCCATATGCTCACAGGGGTAATAAAGCTGATCAGCTATGTTGTTGAAGATGGAAAGCCAGCGCATTGCTGTATCTTTCTCCTGAAATGGGATAGCAAGCAAGCTTTAAGTGTTGATTTCTCCATTCCATCTTCTCCTTTCTTCTGGTCTCTGGTCACTAGACCAGAAGTGAGCATTACAGTTTGGCATTTAGATGAAAGATTACCAGTACACAAGCATCCTAAGTTAGACCTGAGATTCGATCAGTACTACCATAAGTATTATTTGCAAAACATCGTAAAATGGAGCTTCTGGGCATTCTGAGTCTGAGAATGGTCTATATATTTTAATAGTAAGTTTATTACAATTAAAAAGATGAAAAACAAACTAAAAAGAATAAAAAAATGCAATAAGGAAAATATAGTAAAGAAAAAGGAGAGCATATAAAGAAATGACTTCCCCCTTCATCATAACTATCAACGTTTGTAACTTATCAACCCTTGAAATAGAACAAATGTTCTCTTCTGATATTTCATGTCTCTTATCTACAAACAAATCCTTAAAACTTTTTCATTCAGTCCTGATCAGCAAAGGTCCATTAAAGGTTACCAGAGATGATAATATATATTAATCTTGATCAAATAAACTTTATGTTCCTTTCCTTTTTAAACTTTATATTCCTTTCCTTTTTAAAAGTAACCACTTATTTCAAGCTGCACTTCTTTTTCTATCTGAAAAGTCCTCCCTTCCCAGTATTTTCAATCATCTCAATAGCCTTTTTCATTCAGAATTTCATATAAAGCCTAAATTATAAATAGAAGAAACTCTATAACCTAGACTGTAAAACAGTAGAATTTGTTACTAAATTGAGAGATGGTTGGATTCAGTTGGATTAAGTTGTTCTCCAATGTTCTTTACAACTTGTAACAAGGTCCTTGTAACTGAAATGCTTTGCAAGTCTCACATACAGTATCCCTGTACTTCCATGAAACAGTGATGAGTAAGAACAGCTGCAGATAACCAGAAAGTCAGTGGGGAAGGGCCGTACAGTAGTAAGTGTTGTTTGCTCTAAGTGACAACATGATTTCATCTAAACAACACTGTTTAGATCTGATAGGGAGGGAGAGATTTTATTTTATTTTATTTTATTTCATTTATATGCCGCCCTTTTCCCCAAAGGGGACTCAGGGCGGCTCACAATTCAAATCAGGGAGGGGGGTACAAACAGAAAATAAAAAGACGAAACATAACAATACATAATTTAAAACACACAACAGTCATACCATTCGAGACNGGAACAGCTTGCCTCCAGAAGTTGTGAATACCCCAAAACTGGATTTTTTAAAGAAGATGTTGGATAACCATTTGTCTGAAATGGTATAGGGTTTCCTGCCTAGGCATGGGTTGGCCTCTATTCTAAAATGATGGGAAGTGACACTGACACTGGTTTCTTCCCCAAATCTTTAATCTTAGACTGTCTACTGTAGACCTCACTCCATTCCTAAGAGATCTGTAAGGGGTGTGCATAAGTATACCAGCGTGCCTACTGTCCCTGTCCTAATATTCCCTTGTATTCGTATTCATTTCATGTATTCACAATCATGTCTTTACTTATATCTGTTACCTAATTCATGCGTGACAAAATAAATAAAATAAAAAATACATACCAGCTCTATATAATTATGTTGACAGCATGAAAACAGAGATAAAGGACGAGGAGGGAAAATGGTACTTTTTTAGGAAATAAAAGATGGAAGGAATGAGTTTGTGGATGCAGGAAGATTCAGAAAGGGGAGGAGGAATGAGTGCAACAAAAACAACGTTGGGAAGGAATGAAATGTTAAAAGAGATGTAATACAATAAGGGAGTTAAAGCACAAGATGAACAAGTCACAACAGAGTCAAAGCTGCTGTTTCAGCCTTCTGGTTATTGTAGAAAGCATAGACCAGAAACAGGCTGATCTAAATATTAGATTAGAATTGGCCTTGTATCTTCCACAATAAACAATTGCCTACCAGGTACCTGATGATGTAAAAGTGGCTTTAAAATGCTACTTTTGTGTTATCTATCTCCCATTGTGAAATTACTGGTTTTATTTAATGAGATGCCTAGCATTATAATATGCAGGGTGGATAAAAATCAATGGTTAAGAAAAAATTAAATCAGATTTTTAAAATTAGAAATGTTTTTTAATCAAATTATCTTAATAAAATGCATTTGGAGTAAAAATCTATCTAAAGATAGCTTTCTATTTAAGATACATTAATAAATTAGTTTATTCAGCATGAAATGGAGCTTAGTTATGTAGATGAGGCTGTATATTTTATAATATTGGGACTTTCTGGTGAGTCAACAAGGTCAGGGGGAGCTGTTGCAGGACAGAGATGACAGTTGCTCTTTTAAAATTCTTATTTAAATTAATTTGATTTAAATCAAGCCCTTACTACTAATTTAAATCATGATTTAATTTGTGATTTACAGCCTTGATTTAAAGCAAATCCAATAAAAGTGGCAGAAATAATTCATTTTCTTAATAAAATACTTTGGAATATTTATTGTTTATGAGGCAAAAACCAGTTTCAGATGTCTATAATGATCTGTAGTAGATTATAAGCTATGTAGATATGAGACCATTTAATATTATACTTTGGCTTAAGTTCCAGAAATGCTTTTGTACTATCATTTTATATAATGTCTTCATGAAAAAAATAACATGCATGAGGTAATTACAGAAATGGATCAGGCTGAAGAAAAAACATTGTTGGAAAAGTATCCAGAAGAAGGGAAAAAAGAAAAGTCATGGCTGAAAAATAGCAAGATCTACTGTAATTTTTCTTTTTAAAGCTTCCGCTGAAAGAAAATTGAAATTATTTCATGTATAGCCTTTTGGGTAGACAATTCTAATTTAAGATAGCATTCCTAGAAAGAGCAATACCCAGAAAAAAGTTATTAAAAAAATCCTGCCTAATTGTCAGCTCATCTTCCCATCATAAGAATGCCAACTGTAGCTGAAACAAATTCTGGAAATTTTACCATTAATAAATGTGCATTTCATATATTGGTAGGCAATTTTAATATATACATACTGTATCTATACACATATACATGTACAGGTAATCCTTGACTTATGACCACAATTGGGCCCAAAATTTCTGTGCTAAAGAAGACAATTGTTAAGTGGGTTTTGCCCTATTTTAGTACTTTTAATGACATAGTTGTCAGGTGAATGACTGTAGTTATTCTGTTAATATCCCGATTTTTAAGTGAATCTGGCTTCCCCATTGACTTTACTTGATAGAAGGTCTCAAAAAGTGATCACGGGACTCTGGGACACTGCAAACATCATAAACAGGAGTCAATTGCCTATTTGAATTTTGATCAAGTAATCACGGGAATGCTACAACAGTCATAAATGTAAAAGAGGTCATCAGTCATTTTTTCAGTGCCTTTATAACTTTGAATTGTCACTTAATGAATTGTGTAATTTGAGTACCAGTAGTACATGTATATACATACATACATACAAAGACATCTATGTGTATATGTATATAGGTATGTCTGTATATTGAAATGGCCCACTCCAAATTTTTTATAGCTCTATCCCTGTTCCAATGGGCACTTGAACTCCCTGCAGGTCTTGTTGATAATTTCATTCATATTCAGGTTGATTCTGGTATCACCGGGTGATTTAGGATCTTGATGGGATTGCTTCTCAGTGGCATGCTTCTGTAAGCCGTCCCACACAAACTTTGGAGATGAAGCATCTGGTGGAGGAATTTGAAATGTGAACCTTATTGAATATGGCAAAGTTCATACCTAAGCTTGCTAAGTGTTGGAAGAAATGTCCATCTGGGTTTAGTTCCAAGTGGGAAGAAAGACACTGGAAACAGGGAGACTGCTTGGAAAGATGGTTTAATGGTGGACAGGGCCACGTGGTTTGAGGTCCTGGGCAAAAAGAGCACATGGAGTGGAGAGAGGGATATATTTATATATTCTCTTGGACCTTGCCCTAGAGTTTCCTGTTCCTGTACAAGAAATGTATCCCATTGGCTGTCAGACTCCCAGGGGGTGGGGGCTTAGCTAACTTTGTAGGCTCTCTGTGTCCCAGGCCTGATTAAATCTTGCTGGGTGATGATGTAATGAAGGGGCTTTGGGCATTTCCTATTAAGGCTTAATGGGTATGTCCTGGTTTGGATCCTATCATGTCCTGAGGGCCATGCCTTTTGTGTTGTAGATAAGATGGCCCAGCCTTTTGTCGTGTAAATGACCAAATTCTCCTAGGCGCTGCTTGGAGTGTCCAAGCATGGGTTAACTTCAGCTTGTTGCCCAAGGACTGAGTTCAAAGTTTGTGTAGCCACAAACAGGATGCGCCTAGAGAATAAGGCAGAAACTAAGCCAACCGTCAGTATCTTCTGGGGGCAGGGAGCTGGGGCTGAGTTTCTGCCTTAAGATTTCTATTTCTCTTTTAGAGGAAATATTCTGCCTTTTAATATTTCCTAGAATATTTCATTCTTCTAGGAGAAGGATGGGTTCTAACTTCCTACAGTAGTTGAGGTATCCATGTAAGTTAACTTTTTCCCCCCATTCGCTTGTGTCCAGCTCTCTAAAACTGCCTGGACACATCACTGCAGTTTTCTTGGCTATGTTTTTCAGAAGTAGTTTTCCATTGCCTCCTTCCTAGGTCTAAGGCAGGAGTAGAACTCACAGTCTCATGGCTTCCAGTGCGATGCCCTAACCATTACACCAGCCTGGCTCTCATAGTTAACATAGAAAATATAATCATAGTCAATTGATTTTATATGCTATTCAACCTCTGGAGGTAAGCATATGAAGGACCAAAAGTTGTTGTAAAAAAAAGATCCAAAAGTCTTTTTAACAGCACAAGAAATCGTAAGAATCATGTAGATCATTCTGTATCTCACATTAGTCAGCCAACACTGTTTTGTATTTTGAGTACAAATGAGCCAAAAGCAATAAAAAATCCTCTAAAGTACCAGTTGAGGGCAGTAGAAATACACATCACCAGTTCTGTCTTAGGATAATGTAGCAATATGTATTTGGCTATTATTTTTTAAAAATAAGCCTAAGGGTGTAAAAAAAATATGCTACCTACATGAAGCAATGAACTTGCAAAGCTGGAGTGTGGAAAGAGCAATGAACAGCAAGTAACTGATCTTTTTGTCACAAATCTTCATGATATGCTATGCTTTTTTTCCTGCACTTGCAGAAATGTTTTTTTGTTGCATTTCTTTTAACAATTTACTTGCAATATAGTAAGCGCATCTCCCAAGTGGATAGTAACTATTGGTCTCAAAATGTAGGTTTAAGGAAAAGGACTCAGCTTATTGAATTATGTTGAAGGGATATAGTTATATAGTTATTACAAA